TCTTAAGATGCATTCCTATGGTAGACAGTTACCAACAATAGGTTCATACGCCATTCGCTTCATCGGAATTCTGAAGCCTATGTGAACCATAGGTTTGAAATGAAGATTTTTCAACTACCCTAGGTGGATATTCCGTGTTCTCCATACCCACCAACCTGGTTAGAGCACCGAACACTCGCTTTTCATTCAATATTTGTACTGCACGAGAAGGCACTGAGCAGGACTACCATGTCGGTGTCTATATACACAAAGCCATATAAGAGCATTTCGAGGGAGAGAACTCTTCCAACTCTTGGCTGTACCAGGCGGCTTAAGGGATTATATTGTAAAGATGAATAATAAATTACATAGGATAAAAGAACACTGGCTTAGTGGTTAAATTTTAAAGTTTTCAACTGATCAATTGTAAGTTTGAAGTCCACTTTCATTTAGGCAGTCAACACATACACCTAGCCTTTACACGAACAATTCGACATAAAAGTGAGTACAAAAAAAGTATGAAATTTGCAAATAAACCATATACATTTATTCATTTGAAAGGAAAATTTCGAATTATTATGAAAAGTTTCAATGACAAAAATGAAAAATATCCAATGTAAATTTGGCATATTCACTTGAAAACATATACAAGTGATATGTTAAAGGCATGAAAATCAGCAAAAAATCATTTTTAATAAGGTAAGAATAATTTTACTGAAATGGTGAATCGATCATCGTTAGATCAACATTAGAAACCTGGAAGCACTGGAAGGCCATCAAGTTCTAACAGTGCGCATCCACAAACCCCCACTCGCGGGAACCCAACCTAGGACCTTCGGTCTCGCTTATGATCGTTTAACCTCTATCTAGACCATTAGTCCAACAAGCAACGGTGATAATGTCTAATTTTGAATGAAACTCATCAGTCTTTACAACTTCATAACGAAAATATATTTTAGCTTCCAGCGAAAACGGCTTTCCTATAAGGTAACAGCTGGTGTATATGATGATGAAGGTACATGTGTAGTTTTATACAGCTACGTGAATATAGATCGTCAGAAAGCATTACCGAAATTCAACAGTTAAAATTACAGTGAAATCAATCTTATTTAAGAACCATATAAATTGTTCGATAAATAATAACTACTCAGTAAGTTTTAAACTTTTTATCATATCAAAAAGTCGCTTATGTAAACAAATACTTTGAAATTTACCGTAAAGAGAATCTAGCTTATTTGTTGTTATGTAATGTACTATGCAAACTCCGCCTGGGGACCCTCTGGAGCTACTGCCGGTTTCTAGCCCGGATAAGGGAGATGTGGGTATGGGCTTTTACGACCACACCCCACAGAAAACCAACTCAGCAAGAGAATACTAGCCACAAATGGTCGGTAGCCTATGCCCTGTTTGGAGTAACAAGCCTAAGTAAGTAAGTAAGTCAGTAATCTGCTATATAACTCAAAACTCTAGCAAAACAACGCAGAAAAAGCCCATAATTATAAAAATTTCCATTTTCTATAACTCTTAATCTAAACTTCCCTCTGTTAATTGACAAAACGAAGAAAATTTAAATTTGTTTCTGCAGCCCCAACTAACAATGATGCAAAGTGAAACAGGTGCATATACATAGAACATTTTTTCTAGATATCCATAAGAATTTGTCAGTTACGTTATGCGAGTTTTATGGTACCTGACTTAAAATGATGCATAAAAGGAATTCTGTTTATTAAAACAGACGATCGAAAAACTTACATCACACACACACACATCGATATGCTAATGCATTCACTGAGTTAGTTGGTAACGAGCTTTCAGATATCCCACTAGCACTTTGTACATATTTACCATTACTGAAGTTTAGGGTTAGGGTATCACTCGCCCTCACAATTAAAGTATGGCTTATATCCAAGTGCCTGATTAAAGGGTTAATTTAAGTTAAATTTTAATTTTCAAGTTACATATATTACATGGTGTATGGTCGTAGATAACAGTTTAAATCGTCAAATGAACAGTTAAACTTTTAACTATCGAGTCACCTGTTAAAATCCGACTCACTTTTTTTCACAAAAAGTAAGCATCTGGGAAAAGTGGTTAGTCAGATGGAGTCGTAAAACCCCATCATCTAAATTGGTTAGGGCATATGCTAAGTATGTCTTAGGCGCCACATGCTTTGAGGTACAGTGATGGTTAGTGTAAGAATAGGTTAGATGGAGGGTAAGGATTTTCTGATCAAAAAACTAATCCAAAAAGTAAATAACTGATGGATCGAGTCATATCAGGTATTTAAATTTCATCGTAGAGATTTGAGTGATAAACTATAATCATAATTTATAAGTGAAATGACTTAAATTTTACTGTGAGTGGATTCTTCTGTCATCTTATTTTGGCTAACGAATGTTAATATTATTACGTACTTTTATACCTCGATTTCATTTGTTACTATTGTTGGTTTATTTTTGTAATTGCCCGAATAATGAATATTCAGCACTGACACTGATCAGCCATTGTTGCTATGTGCCTAAAAAAGATTGGCTAAATAAAGCGTTGCCATTTTTTATCGGTATAATTAGTATTTAGTTGGCAATGAAATACAACAGAGGTGCGTCGTCTTAATATGTAACTCAGTAGTTTAATGAACGTGTTAGGTGTTTAGAGTGAAAGGTGCCGAGTTTAATTTTCAGTATGGGCAAGAACATTGGGATATATGTATCCCTCCAGCTGGTAAGCACCAAACAGGGCAAAATGCGGATTTTATTGTTAACCCAATACTAGATATACTTAAAATATACTATATGTTTAGCTATTTCTAGTTAGCATTCATCCGATATTCTAGTGCTGTATCGAAGAAGAATGTGATATATTGGACTAGCCCATACTTTTGCTAGTTTTTACTTTGGTAATGACTGTTTAACTGATTGTATTACAGTTTAGTGGCTGATAATGTACGTGAATGACAAAATGTACTGAATTTATTGCAACTGACAAATCGCTAGGTTGGGAGATAATTGAACTTCGACTGTGTATGTCTATGCATACATATGCGTTTGTAGGACTTGGAAAACAGACTAATACTATACCTTACCATTGCAGAATATATACATATGTTAAACAAATAAAAAGGACATTTATTATTCGTATTCTATTCGACAGTTTCTTCGAAACTCTGTCAGTAATCGGATTAGCGTTAAAAAGAAAGACGAAATTATAAATCCTATAGTAAAGATCTGCATTCCTCAGTGGATACCAGCGGAAATCGGGATGTGGATTTCTGTTAAGTAGATATCTACCACTATTCTTTGTGGTTGCGCCTAAAAACTTGACTTTAGCATCTAGTGCTTTAAAAGCCAGTTTTGTGTCACTAAAGCTTGAAACATTTTCCTGCTCAAAGCATCAAATTTGAAATGACCACGCTTTACATATATATATATATATATATATATATATATATATATATATATAAAATCTTTATTGACGCGTAAACAGTATCGCATCGCCGAGGAAAAGTATCATAATTCTATATGATAAGATTACAGATTATATTGTAAAGGATTGTTAAATTATAAATTCCACCGTTAACTAATCAAACAAATATTAATTACCATATTAATGTATGTAAAATAAAATGTTTCGATTAATTTCGATAAACAGATAAATTATAAATGATGTCATAGAACAAGAATATTGAACATCTTATATGATAGAGGATATATATCATATCTGAATACCTATTCCATATTGCAGTTACATAAAAGAATCACTGGGTTCGAACTATTAACTACTAGTTCAGTTTAGACAATGAAGTACTACTAGTTCTAGTTACCAAAGGTTTGCAAACAACCATAATTGTTACGATATAAATCATGATAGACTGTGTATTTGGTTTATAGCAACATGAAAGATTTGGTACACCATGGGAGGGCACATCAAGAGTGTTCCACATTAGACAATAACTATCAAGAATAAAATTTAAAAGGAAATAGTATTGTGATAAAATAAACAGGTGATTAATCAATTATCATAAACAAACAATTAGGATAGAAATTCGAAAAATTTAACATGCATCATTGTGATGGTCGTTTAATGATAAATGTGTGTTGGCTCAAATTATCATTTGACATTAGAAAAGAGCTGAAGTGATTACAGTTAAGAATGATATTGAGAAAGACTAAACGTTGAGAATATGATTCGAAAAAATGAAATCATTAGTTGGTCAGTTGGTTACAACGTAGAACTTCGTACCAGTACGTGTATCAGTTCAAGTGGGCATACCACATTAGCACACAGAGATGCAACTGTTAATACAAATCCCATAGTAGTAGAGATAGTAAACGTATTAGCAGTAATCGGAGATTAGGGCTCGAAGATGTTATTGAAGAAGTATAATTCAATGAAATAAATTTAGAAAGAGAAAGATAGAAGTGATGATGAATGCAGGAGATTAGGATTTGAGAGAACAAAAAGAGTGGATGCGATTGCGGCGCCATTGCAAACAGTTTTGAGCCATGTCATTCAAGGTCTCTAACAGTCGATTACTACTACCACGCAGACCCCAACCTGGTAGTCTACACTTAACAACATGACTCAGTCCATCTGTCAGTGACTTCATGGATTTCTGCCACGTTTTGCGTCGGCCATAGCCCCTAGCTTTCTCCAAGCATACTCCTACGCCAAAAAACTTGGTTCGCTTAAGCAGTCGGTGGTTGTGCATTTGTAATACATATCCCAACCATCTCAACGGATGGAGTTTCAATACTTAATCTATTGACCTGCCATCCTGACCTAGCACTGCTTCGGAGACACCTATAAAATGGTATATAGAGCTCTTAGACAATATATAATGTTTAGATACAGAATCCTTTCTCTTTTATGGAACAATAATACTTTAAATACTCTATAATCAACCATAATACCAAGCAATTCAAAGCTATTACATCGTAAATATATTCATGTACAATCAATCCATAGATATATGATTGTATCTTGATACTAAATTACTACAAAGACAATGAATACGAACTTACTTTACAAGCTTCACATACATATGCACCATGATGAAAACCAGCTGCTAATTCACCACATACTTGACATTTTTGTCCTTCCATTCTATTTTGATATTGATAGAAAGCTGATTCAGGACTACTAAATCCTGGTAATTGAACTACTTCATTACAATGAAAAAAATCTTTTTGAGCTGAATCAGTAATTAAATTCACTGCTTCATCATTATTATTATTATTATTATTACAAGATATAGATGTTGGAATTGTATTAGATCCATTGTTGTTGTTGCTATTATTAGTACGATCATATAATGCATTGTTTAGGATATTTTTAAGTCGATTCGGTGAAGGATTTGGCTGAGTTCTGTCAATAGTATTGTTATTATTATTATTATTGTTATTATTTATATTTGAATGTTCTTTGAAGTCACTTTTCAATGATTCATATCCATCATGTGGATAACATAAACGATGTGATTTCGACAAAGGACTAAGACCGATTAGAACTTTTGAATCAGATTGATCAGTTACACCATAACCAGTGCATGGTGTATGACCATTAGAAGTGAAACGTTTTGTCAGTAGTGGATTACATGATGTATTAGGAAAGAAACAAGAAAAATCAAGTGTCCCTGTAAGCATACGTTCATTTGCATCAAATGTATTTACACATGTTGATGATGTATCAATAAAACTAAGTGTATCAGATGTAAAATCTGATGGAGAATTTACACTTGCATTATCATTATCTAATCGATTCTGGGATGAAATATGAATTGGAGAATTAGTCAATATTCGATTATTGCATCCTGAATTAAGAGCATGGTCTGAATGGAAAGAATTACTTAAATTAGTTTGAGGTAGTGTTAATAGATTTACTGATGAATATGGTATATATCTTGTTGATTGAGATAAAATTGATTCATTTGTATCATTATCACCATTATTATTATTATTATTATTATTATTATTATTATTATTATTATTATTACTATGTGAATGTGATCGTAAAGATCCACTTGTTTGAACAACAAGTCGTGAATTTTCAACAAATTGTTCATCAATTAATTCATGTTCTTCAAATGATTCACTTTTCCCTGAGAAAGATTCAAATGTAGAAGAATTAGTGGCGCTTGGTTTATTATTACATATCACTTCATAGGATGTTTTATTAGAAGTTGGCGCAGATTGTCCAGATAAATTGCTAGTCGGTGAAAAACCACTACTATCAGCTTCACATTTAATTCTGAAATTACATAATAAATTTGTAGATGAATTATTTCCACCGGGTGATTCTTGTTTTTGTTGTTGTTGTGGCTGCTGTGGCGGCTGCGGCTGCTGCTGTTGTTGTTGGTGATGATGAATAGACAGTTCATTTCCTACATCATCAGAAAATTGTGTAAGATGAGTAGAAGTAAATGTTGCATAACAATTTCCATTTGATGTTATACATGATAAAAGTCTACCAATATCATTGGTACTAGATGAAATAATTGATGAAGTTGATTTATCAGTAGTACCATTATTATTTAAATCATTATCAATAACATTTGAATAGGTATGTTGTTGATTAATAATTCCTGAATTGATTGAAGTGGAAATAGTTGGAGATGAACCAAGTCTATACTTACTTTTATAACTGTTATTGTTGTTGTTGTTGTCGTCGTTGCAATCAGACATTTATAAAATTTATTATTCATATATAAGATGCATTGCAAATAGAAAAAATTCAAGGCATTTAAAATAAATTTCGTCTTAAAAACTGATATGAAAAAATTGTTGGAATAAAGAACAACTAAGAGAGAGAGATGAAAAAAAAATTGTTTTTTTTTTGTTCGTTTTAAAAAAAAGAACCTGATAGAAATGTGTAAAATTGATAACTAAACAGTCAAATGTATCCTTTTTCGCAGAGTAATTGAAGAATGTACGTATACATATATATATAAAAAGAGAGTACTGAAAGCACCGGATACACAAGTAAAAATAAAATATGAGTAGAATGGAATATCCCGGTCACATGACAGAAACTATGAGACGTCCTGTAGAGGAGATATTTTCTGTAAGGAAAAAAATGTACACAAATAACTGAAAGTAGTATATTTATTTTTGACCGATGGACATAAAATAATGCAAAAATACACATATTTTACGGTTTTTAATAGGCGCTACTAGCTATATCTATTGTGTGCTACAAGATCTAAACCAATCGAAATGAAGTTTTGAGCCAAAACAATCGCTACAAGTTTTGTGTTTTAGATCAATGAATCGTAGTATAAATAAATTGTTTGACGTTTAGGTGCTACATTAAAGTGGACAATAGTTTGATCTTTATTTTCTATATATTTTGTATTGTATGGCTGATTTTAGTACATATGGTTATATAGACAGTTGAATTTTTTAACACAAATAAGTAAATTCTTTAGTTTATTAAGCAGAAAAACTGACACACATTCGGTTAAATTTAGTGACTACATTTTTAACCAGACAGTTAATTAACAGGCAACGTGGAAATTATAATTATTTCACTGTACTACTATACCGGAATTTTAGATTTATTTCTTTTATCTCAAAATAAGTTGTTGAGTGGACAAATTATTTAATTTGAGAAAGAAATCCTTTCAGCGGAACAATAACAGAAGATAAAATACATATAGGCGGTGGAAGCTATAGACTGTCTTCATAAGAATTTAATTCAGTAACAAATCCAACTGAAGACACATACAACCCAACGAGTATGAGTTTCTAAGATTCAATTAGTGGTGTAAGTGCACATCCCAAATATTTTAGAAGTCATTTTATGTGATACAATAGAATAGCTTGATGAGAATGTATATGAAAGTATTTGGGAGGAAACCCTGGATCTGGACTTTATGCAAAACGGTAATCATCAGCAAGGTAATGCCATGTGACCTACAAATAAATTGTTTGACGTTTAGGTGCTACATTAAAGTGGACAATAGTTTGATCTTTATTTTCTATATATTTTGTATTGTATGGCTGATTTTAGTACATATGGTTATATAGACAGTTGAATTTTTTAACACAAATAAGTAAATTCTTTAGTTTATTAAGCAGAAAAACTGACACACATTCGGTTAAATTTAGTGACTACATTTTTAACCAGACAGTTAATTAACAGGCAACGTGGAAATTATAATTATTTCACTGTACTATACCGGAATTTTAGATTTATTTCTTTTATCTCAAAATAAGTTGTTGAGTGGACAAATTATTTAATTTGAGAAAGAAATCCTTTCAGCGGAATAATAACAGAAGATAAAATACATATAGGCGGTGGAATCTATAGACTGTCTTCATAAGAATTTAATTCATTAACAAAGCCAACTGAAGACACATACAACCCAACGAGTATGAGTTTCTAAGATTCAATTAGTGGTGTAAGTGCACATCCCAAATATTTTAGAAGTCATTTTATGTGATACAATAGAATAGCTTGATGAGAATGTATATGAAAGTATTTGGGAGAAAACCCTGTATCTGGACTTTATGCAAAACGGTAATCATCAGCAAGGTAATGCCATGTGACCTACAAATAAATTGTTTGACGTTTAGGTGCTACATTAAAGTGGACAATAGTTTGATCTTTATTTTCTATATATTTTGTATTGTATGGCTGATTTTAGTACATATGGTTATATAGACAGTTGAATTTTTTAACACAAATAAGTAAATTCTTTAGTTTATTAGGCAGAAAAACTGACACCTATAGGGAACTGGTGCTCACTAACGGATTGGAGTCCAAGTAACCCAAGCTTTGTAGTTTTCAACGGTACCACTGAGATGTCTAGGTCACGGCTGACCTGTGAAACTGGGATCATGACCAACGTTATAATTAGTGCTTAGAACCAACCACATTCTAACGATTGAACTCTATAGAGAAAAACTATTTTCTAAATGTAAGTTACGCCTTCGAGATAAATGCTAAATAAAAGGAGACTCAGATTAGGAGTCTCCAGTATAACTTCAAATGAAACTCAACAATCTTTACAACCGCATAATGAAAATACATTTACCTTGTAGCGAAAAGGGTTTTTCTAGACAGTAAGGTTTTGTGCAACATATATTTGGTACTTAATACTTTCAAACGAAAGGTTTGAGTTAAGTTAGTCACAGATTTACGCAAGAACTCCGAGAATTTTCTCGTCAAGCGAGTCACTAGTGTGCGCTTTTACAAGTGCTAGGTATATGATGAATGACTGGATTCGCCGTTTTGGCGGGGCATACTAAAATTCAAGGGATACAACGGGCTGTGGTCTCTCGGTGATCGTAAATAGGCGACATTTATTTGACTATACAAGTTCCATAGACATTTATATAAACGACACAAAATAAACAATTATAAAGACGTTTGACAAATACCATCTCTAAATGAAAAACCAGCCACCATGAGACTAAAAAATTAGACAATAATATAAGCCAACAGCAGTAATGTAGTGGTAATAGGACTGAACATGAGGATAACTAAAGTTAGAGCATCATCCCACCTTACCAACACGCTTAAGTCCTAGACATAGGGAACTTGTACCGAGCGCTCAATAATCCTAGGTCACAGTCAAATATGAGAGTAGGGAAATGTTGTATTTTAAGCAAGACTATTTAGACACTTATTTTATGTAAGGGAGACAAATATCAAGTCTTTATCTTTCGCTAGTGTCATAATTAGTGGTCAAAACTAATTCCATAATGTCTGACTTTAAGATATACAGCTGAATCACTGTAATTTGCATCATGGTTACTTGTCCGGTAAACCTATAATAATCCTAGTGATACGTTATCCTTAGGGTTTTGGTTTTGAGTCACAATATTTATTCAGTGAAACTGTTAACATTCGTTATGGTAGACTGTCCTAGTCAATGCCCATCTTATGGCGAAATAGACATTCCAACCTGTGTTTTCGATATCAGTCTCTGAATCTTCTGAAGTGTAGCCGGCGATCTCTCATTATGCTAGCGGTAAAATGCAAAACGCACCACAACTACAATCATCGGTTCAAATGCATAATGTTAGTGAAATGTCACCATGTATCCTACAAGGGTGAAGGGATCATGCATTTCAATTGCTTGGCTCAGAAAGGCGCGTCTAGAATTTAGCTTTTATTTGTGGAACATATGCGAAGCATAACTTTATCTCTAACTGAACATAAAACAGTCACTTATGTTCGGCAGTCGAGATAAGTTACTTGTGCATTAGTGACTATTGTCAATTCTGATGCATATCAATGCAGCTTTTCAGCGAAATAATCCATTGGGCCTCAACCTGAAGACTCGGCTTTTTCATCTTAGCCAGAATGAGACATTAGAATCACCACTTATAGGTCTGTTAATCCTAAAATGATACTGCCCAGGGTCTAAAGAGTATCAATAAATAGAACTAATAGCGGTTCATAGGTAATACCTTGAAGTGCGCCACATTTAACCGGCATTCGTCCTAGACGGTACTGCGTTTACTTTTACTCTGTCTTCATTTAGTAATACCTCCTGCCTATTTCTAAAGATGTAGAAATCTTTATAAGTTCAAGTTTAGACTCCACACAAAATATCTTTCTGAAACATGAGAAATTTATATTGCGAAAATGATCGTAATCTTTCTTTGTTGTCTAGTCCTCACTTCTAGAAAGTAGGTTAGTCAGCCAAATGAGTCACCTACTCCCGGCCCTGCAGTCTGTGGAATTTTTCTGGTGGGCAATAGGTCAGATAGGTCAGTGATTATGCACAATTCTCCCACTTTCATTCTGGAAATATAGCTGACTTCAAATTTCTTCTGATCTTTTGAATCTAACATATGCTGAACCATTTGTCAGTGTTTTCAAAATTCTAGAATTTATGACTGGAACTTGGGAGTGTAACTCATGATGGCCAATCGGCTTATCAGGTTTTAGACTATTAACAAGTCAATAAGCTGCTTTCTCTAACAATGCTCTGTCAGAATCTCAGAATTGCAACTATGAGAAACATTGGCAAGAATGAGTCCAGAGTGGACATCATCAAACCATTTTAATGTTCTTCCAGCCTGGTCAAGCCCTAATAAGCTAGTGAGTCCAAATTACCTTATAACTTCGATAACTTCGTTTTTTCATACTACTGATGTATATAAACAACGGCTGTACACATATCTTTTTTGTCCTCCGCAAGAAGTTGTACACCAAAAGACAACTGTAATGTAAACATTCCGAAATCCTTCACAACCCGATGTATTTAACAGGTCCAGAAGATGTTTTACTCCCCCTCAATAATCCTATATTTTGCTACCCATGTGTCGGGAAAATGTGACAGTTCACCAAGTCACCAGAGAATAAATGTATTTATACCATTTAACACGCTAAATTCTCCCTCAATCGTCTGATTTATGTTAGCTCATCAATTTATTGAGTAACCCCAGCAAATGAATATAGGAATATCTGTCAGTCGTATGCTTCGGCAGAGAGTACTTTCGTATATGTGTCTCCTAAACTCAAAAATGCAGTTTAATTTCTGGTTCTCACAGGGTTAAGAACTGAAGGTTAATAAAACCATAACCATGTGTGAAAATAGGTTCCGCCTCCGATAGTTTGTTATTGGTTGAAACTTTCCGGTTTCGTGAAACACTTTACAGGAGAACACTAGACAGCAATAAAAAAATGGTAGTGATCGGAATAGTTAGTGAAAATTGTGAGCACCATTCGCTCGATGTATATACGGGTACATATCCCAACGACAAGAACACTGCTAAGACTACTCATAAATTTGACTGACGAAACAATTCGTAAATTATCATTGCTGGTTTTCAGTATGTAATTACTTTGTAACGAAAGTGAGCGCACTGGTTAATTTTTGGCCACAAGTGGTGAGATGGATATTCACAAGTGCTCAAATTGATTATAGTGATCTAGCAACCACGTATGAACCATCATTGAAGTCGCAAAGGAGACCATCAACAACATCGGACGTACTTTATTTGAAATTCAGATCAAGTTATAAGTAATATTTGAATGAATTACCGTACTGTAGAATCGTCACGGAGAAGCTACAAATGGTAAGCACTTCTAATAATGCATAAATTTTATCCTATTGTTTCTGGACATGTTAAAAAGTGTGATTACGTGTCGCGACAATGAGTGCTACCATCCCACGAAATTCGCTACTTTTAACAACGAGCAATGGTAAATAATACATACATTTGTTATGTAACTAAACGTTTTACATTACCTTTATATCTGATGTAACAGTACGACACAAATTCATACTGCGTGGTTTGAATCCCAGTTTTCCGCGTGTCTTGTCGACGTTTGAGTTCAATTAGGATTACATGTACTGCGTTCGATTAATTCCAATCTATATCTGGCTTAGCTGCACAGATAAATTCAAATAACTTAGGTCAATTACCTATCAACGAGTCACCGGGGTAGGTGATAGTTAAGTAAGGGCTTTTTGATACTTGGTGATTGAAAAGTATTATTACTTCATCTTTGCAGGTCAAACGTTGTCTTCCATATGTTTGACTGCATCTTCATAGCTAGTGTGGATTTCGATAAACTGTTAGTCGCACATGTGGAGAGTTGGACGTACAAAAAAATTTATAAACTTTCCAAGTCATTCGCTACGAAAGTGTTGAGTTGTATCGGGTCAAAACCAGCTCGTTACAAGAGGCATGCCAGTTTACAGACTAGATCAAATCTTTAAAAATACTACTATATTTACTGTAAAAACTTCCACTATTAAATTAGTAAAAACATTTTTTCCTGACAGAAAGCTAAGGCTATATAACCGACGATAACAGTATCTTATGGACACATTTTCCGCAAGTAATTACTAATAGGGTGGGTACACGGCAGAGTTATTTGATGGTGTGCATATTAGAGGAGTTAATTCATTGGAAAGTGACGATTGTGAGGCACTTAGTTTGAGCACCATGTTTGTTCCACTGTTAGTAGGGTTCTAAAAAGGAACAAAAGAGATAAAAGAAAAATAGAGTAACGATTTAATTGTACAAACCTAACCAGATCATTGCTTAACCATCAGAAAAGCGGTGGTTTGTCAACATAAATTCTTATACACCGCTTGAATTAGAATAAATAGAAGTATTTTTAATCGAATGCAAAGCTGTACGTGCTCTTCAAAAGCAGATAGTAGAAAAACTTGATGGAGCTCTCAGCTACACAGCTTGAAATAGTAACGAATTCCAGAGATAATTCATTTCAACGAGATATTCTTCTCGACCTAACATACATGAGATCCCAAACATTTCCTACCTGTAAACATACATTCATTTTCCGCATGTAACTACTTTACAATAGCAGTAGAACAGCTCTTCAAGTTTGACTAGATTTATATGTTTTTTCTACACTGACATGAGCTTCACTTCAAACCTGGCTTTAAAAATACCGAAAGGACCGGATGTTTCGTACGGGCTTACGCAGAGCACTTATGAACTAAAGGTTCCTAGCGTCAAGCTTATCACAACAAGCAACGAAACATTCACTCCTCTTACTAATTCTCAGTAATGAAATCCATGAGAAACAAAAGGATACACTTGAACTTCGAACGTTCAAAGTTATAGAAATTAGTATTAGAAAGAGCGATAAATCCTGTCAAAAGTTTGTTACAAGGATCCAGGTGTGCTGGACACAGAGGACAAAGTCTGACCCCTAATGTCCACCCAGGGTTCAAACATGGTCTAACAAATCCAGAGAGCCTGGACACCGCTTCAAACTGCTAGAGAATGCAGCCATAGCTAAAACAGCTCTACAGTTTGTGCGCAACCAACTTGGTGCAATCACTGAAGAATAGTCATAAGCTGCCTCCAAACTGTATGCACCGTTTCACTCTGACATGTTTTCGCATCCCTTACTTGAAAAGACTTAACTCTCTGATTTCGACTGAAGAGATGGGCGACCAACTGTTAAATGGCCTCCAGAATATGCTTAACGAAGAGAGAAACCCACGCTCAGGATTATTCCATAGGAGCTGTGGGAAAATCAGAGGTACACATTAAGTACGCCGAACCAACCCATCCCGAGCATCTTGGTAAAATATCACAGCCTCGCCACTCTTAAAAAATCGCAAATCAAAGAGCTAATACTCAAGTTCAAGCACACAATTTCTAATGAAAGTCGTTGAAACTTGGAATGCTGTCATAGCCGCGGTGACCACAGACTCCTCCGTGAACAGCTTCAGGAAGAGACTTCATAAACAGGGACTACCATACTGATCATCATATCATTCTTCAACCAACTGTTCCTGATGCATGTCTGCAAAACTTGCTAGTTCTTATTATTTCCATTCCTCAAATCGCTAACTCATTGCCTCTCGTTTATTGCCATCTATGTTTCATCTTCTTTGCTTCCATTTCTGTCCTTTCACACAATTTTACTACCAATTGATTTACTTATTCACCAACTTATTCCTTGAAACTGTGGCCTTGTACATAATATTAGAACTTTCTCCTTAGTATTTGTCACATTGCATCTAGATGATCACCGACCTGGCAAAGTGATATCTGCTGGTATCTTAAAACCCTACTACTCTGAAACAAACGTACTCATTGAAATCATGAAACATAAAAAACTCACAAACGACTGCAAACTGACTAAATTTAATGCGGTCAAGTGGCCAGAATTTCAACGATTGGACATAACTCACTACATAGAACCGTATGGAAAGAACAAGAATTAAGCACAGGGAAGTCAGTTGGCTTCGACTAGCTTATGAAAACAATATTAGATATTGAATAGAGATAATGGGTATTGTAAATTGAAGTGCTTGGTTGCAAAAGAGCCGCGGAGATTCAAGATTGTTAGTCACGTCTCTCCATATGTCGAATGATATTATTTAAATGTTTTCTGGGAGTAAAAGGAATCATTTCCAACAAGGTACACTGTAACGTTTACTTCAAAAGTAATTTTCGCATTCAATTTTTCTACAACTAATCCGAAGTTTGTACAAAACCAGTTTTTCCCACTCCCACAATTTGTATATTTATGAAATCTAAAGTAAAGACTAAATTATTTGGTATCTCTTATACTCTCAAGTTAGGTTTCGTGAATGTAAAATCGAATTTCAACCATATTTTACATTTTCCTTATCTTGATAGGCCTAACTTCCTACGAAATTTCGGACTAGAAAGCGTATGGTGGTATATTGACATTAGTAGACAATAAACGCCTGTAGCATTCTATTCAAATAAAAGTGGTCAAGCAACTTAAAACGGGAAGCGAGGATGGATGTAGGTGAAATAAAAAGGACGGCAGCACTAATAAATTAGAAATACCGATTTTTGCCCTGTAATAAATACCTAACTTTGTCACAAAGATATATGTTACTCACCCTGAGATCTGAACTTTTATTATGAGAAAGGGAAAGTCATAAACTTTTGTTAGAAATTCTAGGATAAACTTTTTATATCTAGCTTCACTTTGAGCTAAGTAGTCCAATATCCAGATATAATTTTTTTGTGGTACGTTCCAAGTATTAGCTTTACGTTAGATAAATCTACAATTAAAAAATATAGTATTTTCTGTGCCTCTGAATACCTTTTTTACTGGTTGCAAGCTCCTTTGATTCTAATAGTCTAAAAAAAGGACTATTACCTCTATTCTGACAACTAAATAAGTTCACTCAAAAAGTAAATTCTAGCACCCTGTTTATTCAGTTCGCGAATCTTTCCATAAGACTTGTTTGTGGCTGATTTTTAATGATATCTATGCAGTCGACGTTCGTTCTTTAATTTAAAGCTATCTGTCGTGGTATGTTATCAGTTATATGATGAATGACCGTTGCCTTCATAATTTATGCTTACCTGATATGTACTTAAGAATTCTAAAAATAAACCAAGAATGTATATCTGGAATTTTTTTGGGCAAAAGCTCTCAGAAGCTGTCAAGAAACGACTGAGAAACTGAACTTTTAATAGGAACAAAAAGCATAAACATCGTGACCTTTAAATTCAAATATTAAATGCCAGATAGCTCTTATGAAGTTTAGCGACTGTAGCTTACCACGTTTATTATGAATATTACATCATTTTGTATCGAAAAGAAAAACAAAGAAAAATGCAAACTCAGTACAAGTAACCACATAAATATTATTTGAACCGCTACTATTTGTAGTATGACTTGAAAGTTCATTATAAGTTGGATTGTTATCTCTCACATGCGACTAAAGTCACATAGTAATGTTTATTCCTGACATTATATGTATTCCCTCCAGGAATATGATAAAAACCCTACTTAATGTATATTTGTAAAATAATAAATATACCCACGCATAACTGTATGCAATCCAACTGGATTCATATTAAAATAAAATTTTTATTATAAAATAGTTCAAGCCTGTAAAGCACTTTAACTTGGTTGGTTTCTAGCATCTCATTTCCAGTTTTTTGAAGTATTTAGCTCTCCACATAAGCGAATCACATAGATATTAAATCAAAGAATATTTGCATTGTGCAAAAACATGGTTGATTTAAAATCACATTATACTGCTCACTAATTTGTAATAAAGCGTTTAGCTCTTTGGTAAAAAACCATATATATTTACGTTTTCTGTAGTTGAAAAGATAGTAAGTAACCTAATATTTCCAGTAACTGCTCTAAAGACAAACTGAGGTCATTTAAAATGTTACGTTAGATTTTCTCACTTTTATCACCAATCCTATTATATTAGGTCCATTTAATTCAAGTTTCTTTCAGATGGTTTGTTCTGAAGAAGAACATTAGTTACATCATTGACAGTTCACCAAATATAAGATTTTATTCGGGACTTTTAGTCAAGTGTTGATGAAGAACCGTTAAAATAAAATCCTTAACAGAAAAAATATAAACAAGGTGAATTGGGAAAAACAAATGGTTTTCTATCTTTAAACACTATTGACTACTATTTTGAAAAAGTAACTATGCAGTTTAAAATATCTGCCCTAGATATCTGAAAACGTTTATGGTATAACTAAATGACATTTCCGTAGTTTTAACTACATCACTAACAACAGATTCATTGCTATATTAATCAGCCCGACGATAGACAGCACATCTCACCAAAAACGCACCCAGACTCCATAGTTTCCATATCTTTCTTTTTCCAATTAGACATTAACAACATGCCACTAAAAACATACATGGCACTGCACTCTATATTGAAAACTTTATTTAATTGAAAATATATGTATATCATATCCAGAGTGAAATTAAGTTCATCCAATATCTCACGTCTACACACGATTACTGATCGATAAAAATCAGAGTCTATTTAATTAATATTCCGAAAGTCTTGTCATCGCATCCATTGCAAAAACCTTTTATGGTATTATTAGTTTCTACAGATTAGTTCGAATTTCCCCAGAAGTCTACGTCTTTTAGTCTCAGTAGCTTAACAGTGTCGTTAACTTTCAGATAATAAATATTTTGGGGCACAGTTTTGGAGGTTTGCGTTTTTACACATTTGAAATCATCAATATTTTCCAAAATCCATTACACAAATTAGTATTTGGTCACTGAATTCTATTCAATTTCTTAATTTTCCAAAAGATGACGAAATAAATTTTTATTATGTTACAACGTCTGAGTGTTATTTCGTTAATAGGACGTCAAAATGAAGATTCTATGTCACTATTCAATCATCGAAAACCATTTTTTTTCTTAAGCTCCTCCGTTTATGCCTAATAAACTTCATGTAATTATTACATGAATAGTTAAAAAAGTTTCAAATTTTTCTATTTCAGTAAAACAGCAAACGGGAACACTAATTTAACATGAATAAAATTAAAAGAATTATTGAAGAACTACAAACTGAAACAAAGGACAATAAAATTATATTGAAACTTACAGAATTATATCAAATTTATTCACAGGAAAAGAATGAAAATCATGATTTAATCAATGATTATTTGATCAATTTCAATTTACCGCTAATTCTCTGTGATTGTATAAAACAAAGTTTTTCACATTTAAATGAAAATTGGTCAATTGCATATCAGTTAAGTTGTTTTCTATTAGATATTGTACTATCACCGAATGTTACAATTTTAACTAATCTACAAACAAATATCATTGAATCTCATTTGATTTTATTAAAACGATTACAAAAGAATCATAATTTAGCTACAGAATCATTAATCAATATGGAAACATCAAATGATCAATATTTGAATTTGATCACATCAATTTTACATAATATTGAAACATTAATTCAACATTCTCAAATAATTTCCTATTTATTATTGAAATCTCCATGGTTTTTACAATTATTTATTTCAGATGATCAAGAATTCTCATTGCTATTTATAGAATTATTTACTAAATGTATAAGCTTATCACCTGAATCATTTTGTCGATTAAAGCATAGTTTAAGAATTGATATTTTAGACGAGTTAATTTATCATTTATCTACAATAAATAATCCTGAAAATGTTGAAAAAATAGTCAAGTAAGTTGATTAATTTTGATTCTATTCACTTATTTAACGATAAATTTTTATAAAGGAGTTTTTCAAAAGTCACTTAGCTCAAATCTCTTCAAATAAGTAAATAGATACAATGGTCTAGAGGTTAGGTGTTCACCAGCGAGACTGAGGGTCCTGAATTCGGTTCTTCCGAGCTGAGATCGTGTATGCGTGCTACTGAAAAGACCCATCCTAGGACTTGACGACCATTCAGTGTTTCCGGGCTTCTAATGGTTGTCTAACATTGATCCAAATTTAAGATTTCAACAAGAATGGTAGTAGTTTATTGAATGAATTAAAACGCAGAATCAATTAATTTATTACTAGCAACAGCTAAGTTTGAATCATGAAGCTTATGATGGATTTGGCCTACTATATAAGTGCCAAACATGGCCAGTAAAAGAATGAAATATTCGTAGGTTACTAGTTTTTAATCATAGGTGTCTTCTTAGGAGCCTTGCTCGTATATCCTGGGAAAATAGATTAAGCAATGTTGATGCTAGTTAAAGTGTACTAGGTAAGGATGACAGATCAATAGATAAAGTATTAAAAATTCATCAGTTGAAGTGGTAGAGACATGTGTTACGTTTGCTCAGCCACTGACTGCCTTGACGAGCGATATCTTGTGGTGTAGGGGTAGGCTGGGAAAAAGCTAGGGGCGGCCAAACCACAACATGGCACAAATCCATGAGGTCACTGACAAGTGGACTGAGTTATCTAGGTAAGTGTAGACTACCTGGTTATGGTCCGCGAGATGATAGTAATTGATGTTTAGAGACCTTGAAAGACGTGGCTCAAAATCGTTTGTAATGGCTTAGGTTCATCCACTCTTTGTGTTCTCTAAAATTTTAATCTTCAAAATTTCTCATCACCTCTCTCTTTATCTTTTTAAGTTTATTTCACTCGATTCGACTTCTTGAATAATATCGTCGAACCCTAATCTTTTTGATTACCGCTGATACTTCTAATATCTCTACCACAATCGGATTTGAACTGACAATCGTATTTCTGTGCTAATGTGGTACGGCAACTTAAATGATGTACGTACGTACAAAGTTCTACGTTGTAAATGACTGACTGACTGGTATGCACTGTTGAATAATCATCTGTCAGAACTTGTAAGAAGTATCTTACAGTTATAACATTTTGATTAAAATATTTTGTAAGTAAATAATTATTTTAATTTTCCAGAAAATAAAACAAGAGGGTCGTTGAATTTTATCCCGTTTTCGGTTTAAATTCTTTCTATCAAATAAAACATCGTGTATAAATCGCAACGAACTTTATTGCTCCTACGTGGTTGCAACACACGTCCCAACCACCTCAACTCCGTCTGTCGACCGTCCGAAGATCCCGCCGGTCCCAAGCGCGGATAAAGGAGGAGGGTTGGGTTTGGAGTTGGCAACCTCATCCCGTTGAAAAATAACTCGCTAAAAATCGCTAACAAGTAAAAATAGTTCAAACCATTTAAACTCTTCTCTGGTAGTTAGAAGTTCTTCATCTAGAAGAGTTATGATGTCTTATGATCAAAGCCGAGTTCCTTCTGAAGTCAAAAGACCGATGTCCGTTCTGACAACCAGAGCCATTGCACGGTGTTGGCAGCCGGGAAGTAGCATCCGCCCTCATACTCATAAAAGCACTCGAGAACAAACCTGTGAGACCAATGTTCATTTGATCATCTCATCTATTTCAGCATTTGACCAAATAAATCGACCATTGTATCACAATAGTACTCTTCAACTACTTTTTTTCTTTTCAGATCTCTTGTTGTATTATTAACAAAAATACCAGGATTATCCAAAACTATGATAAAACGTTATCGTGGTATACAATTATTAATCATGAAATGGTTAAATCAATTTACTCATAAATCCAATGATGAAGTAGTTCAGACAAATGATGAAAATATGAAAACTACACAAACAATATTAGATAAGAATGAAATGTGTAGACAATTATTAACACAACTCATTAATTTAATTAATGAATCCAATATGTTCATAACAAAAGAAGAAAGTAAAGAAGTGTTCATTGATAAAAAGAAACAATTTGAAAATAACGCTAGCATGAATTTACAACAAGCTGCCATTATTATTCAATCAGCTTGGAGAGGATATTCAGATAGAATGAAATTAAAACATTTGAATGAAAATATTGGAATTTTACAAGTAAGAATATTTCTACAAGTATATATACATTTAATTTAATTGTTATACACTAATCATATGAAATTCAATGTTCAACTTTTGATTCAGTTTCGAAATGAGACTTGATTATTGAAGTATCCAGGAAAATACAAGTTATGACTAGCTAGTGAGTTAAGACAGGCATGCATACCCTACAAGTAATATGTAGATAGTGTTTTTTTTAATGAATTTGTACAACAAATCCGTTTTTCAATGTTCAGTATATGTACAATATTGAACAATTTGGGCATTTGTCAATGTGTATTTACTGCATGAGTCCTAAATCTTAGAGCATCATTTTCACTGAGGATTTTATCGGGTGTAGGCAGTAACTACCGACGACAAATGGGTGAGGTCGCGCAAACATCCGTAGATCAATCAGAGTTAGATATTAACACCGTTGGATGCCGGCCCAGTGGTCCAATGGTTAGGCGTTCGCTCACAATACCGAAGGTCTCGGGTCCGAATCCTACGAGGTGCTGGGGTCGTGGATACGCACTGTCGATGAGTCCCGTACCAGAATGAAACGGCCGTCCAGTGCTTCCAGGTTTCTAATGGTGGTCTGAAAATGATTAATGGATGATTTCAAATGTGAAGATTTTATATCAAACTCTAAATTTCACTTTGTTTTCTTCACTCATCCGGTAAGTTGGGATATGCGATCGTAACGTGTTTATAGAAGATATATGTAGATAACTTTCAATGTTTGACAAAAAACACCTAGTGAAAATTATGCTCATTTTATGTAGAATTTATCCAACAAGTGAACAAGAAATGCCCAAAAGTGTTAGATATTACAGTTAATATAAAAAGAAGAATAGATAACCGCATACATAAAAGTTGTCTTACATTTATTTCACAAAACTGATTGGCGAAATGATAAAACATAATCAACATATCGATTAAGTTCCTAACTTGCACTGTTCTAAACTGGTTCGAAGTCAGTTTGTATAACATCCTTTGGCCTATAAGAGTGTGGATTTATTCACAAGCTAAATTTATTGCAACTAACCAAGTATACGGTTATTTTTACCTCCGCTGTTTACTTGGTGGAGATCAACATTAGTTGCAGTCGGTTCAAGAAGAAAATTCCATCCATCTTAAAATAGATCTGAATTATTCAAACAATAAAAAGTTGTTCAATAAACTTAAAAAAAGACTAAACAATGCAGATGATTTTGTAAACCGATAGGAATGAATTCTGCTAAACATCAGCCCCTACTTATGACTCGTTGATAAGTAGCTGGTGTTAGTTGTGACTACATATTAAAACTACGGAAATTTTGATCAACGGTGTCAAATGAACATTCAAATTCTTGAGAAAAATCTCCTGATCGAGAAACATGTTGTAACTGAAAAAGTACTGGATCTCTACATGATTTATGTTTGATTAGTTAATCTTGACAATTAGATATTAATTGATAATGAAATTCTATTTATTGACAACCCTGTTGTAAGTGTGGTAGCAACTACTGAAGACAATGGGTGAGGTTGTGCAAGACCTTAGATTGACCAAAGTCAGACATTAACAGCGTTGAACATCTGTCGGCTCATTGCTCTCCATGTTAAGCGTTCGCATACGAGAACAAAAGTACAAAGTTGGATTTTAGTGAGCGAGGGTCGTGGATACGCACTACCACTGATGAGTCCCATACCGCGGACAAAACGGCCACCCAGTGCTTCCACGTTTCTAATGGTGGTCTAACAATAACTGACTCATGATTTTAATGAAAAACCACATCTACTTTTAGTGTTGAGTTTCAAATCTATCATGATAAATCTATTCTTCTGGAATTCCTTACACATTATTCTACTATTCTATTCTCTACTAGAGAAATTTTAGACAACGTCAAATGAAAAAGCATGCTATGGCACAACAAATTCAACTTGAAAAAGAATTTCAACATACCATCAAAATGAATCGACATAAACGTTATCGTGAGAAATTACACACGGAAATGAAATTATGGTCTAGTTTACCGGGTTATTTAGTTGAAAATGAATGGAGCAAAAAACGTCACTTCGCAGCTACAACTATACAACGATATTATCGTGGTTATTGTACAAGAAAATTTGTAAAAAATCAACAAACTCAATTAAAACGTGATAAAGCAGCTAGAATAATTCAAATAAATTTCCGTAAGCATCTGTCTCGTTTAGAGTGTTGTGCATCGTCTACTGGGAAAAATTTGCTCAAAATGTCTGCATCCATTGAAAATAATTTAATCGATAATAATAATAATAAAATGTCCGAAGTTATTACTATGGACAAAGTTCTCAAGGTAAGTATCATCTTAATTGTTGAGATTATTA